GTTTATTCGAAGAGCTGTTCGTCTCTCTCTCTCTCCCTATGGCTCTCAGTTTACGTTAGAAGATGCTTATTAAATTGTGTCATCCACGAATAAGGGCTAACGCGCTGCATCCAATTTGTGCCGCTTAATTAATTCCCTCCAATTTATTCCCCGAGACCGGCCAATAAAGAAACCGGGACCCGCGCCCGCTCGACGGTCAACGAGTGCCGTCGATGCCACCGCAATATATTGTCCCTAATGAAATCTTCGTTTAATCGCGAGTTTTTCCGACGTACACGACTTCAATTGCGGCAGCTCCACGAATTTCTCGCGCTCGTCGCTCTTGACAGCCGCCATCGCTGCACGCGATGCGCAATGATGCATACTATGTTGCATCGATACGATCATCCATTGTTTCTCTTCTCGAGCAAGAAGCGAAGAAGACAACTGCGTGTTATAACATGATTAACGTTTCATTCTTCAAGACTGAAATTAATTTTTGCGGATATATTATTTTTATTTTTGCTTTATTATTTTTTGCGAAATATATAATTAAAAGTCGAAATACTATAATTTTATATAATACTATAATTTTTTTTATAATTCTTACTTACTATTTATTTGTCATAAAAATAATGATTAAAAATCTTGATCTTTTATTGCTGCCAAATTTCTTCTTTGTTATTATCAATCAAACTAATAATATTATATAACTCTTCTTTAACTATTGCAGACGTGTGAACGAGCATTATCGCAAAGTAATATACTTTTCGAGAAAAATGTAAAATATATATTTGTTTTACTTGATATTAATATTGAATACAAATATTTATAAAATAATCCCATTAAATTCAAGCATACCTGAAAATCACGGGTGGAGAATCTGCGACATCAAGAGCATTTCGGATTGAAACAGAAGCGCGATAAGCGGAAAAAATGAAGAGAGGAGGAAAGGAGGGGAAGCTAATTACAAAATTATCGCTTTTAATTGCAATTTCTGATATTTGCGCAATGGCGCGGCGGTGCAAAGCGCGCGATTGTCGTCGCGTGCCGAATTATTGGATGTTGACGTCACCGTCGTTGCCGCCGCCACCGAGCCCCCTCCGTTATGCGGCATCGCTTTGCTCATAATTGCCGACAGCAATTATGCAATTAGCGCCGCGCTCTAATGAGCGCGCAGTGTCATATACGCGCGGAATCTAAACACCCGGCTATCCGATACGCATTGTTCGCGCGCAGCACTGCTGAACCCCTTGTCTTCATTCGTCTTTAAGTGCGAGATATACGCCCCTATCTGGTTTAGCTTTCATTAACCGCATTATGCGTGTATATATCTTCAACGACGTATCAACTCATAAAATTATTCCTCAGATTATTGCCCGTGCAGTTAATGTTCTCTACTATATGTATAAGTTTAAACTGCCTAATTATATATTGTTTAGTAAATCTGTTGCGCTATCTCAAACAATATCTAGTGGGCACATTTTAAAAATAGACTATTGAAATTAATTATTTATAATTAATCACATTAATTTTAAAATAATATAATAATGATAATAAATATATATATATATATATATATATATATATACACATATTTGTTTGAAATTTATTAATATAATAATTTTAAGAATCATAAAAAAGGAGATACTTGTTTGAAAAAATGATTAAAATTTTTTAATTTTAAATTGATTATTTTACATATTATTTTAAATGGTTATATAATGAGAAAAATAATTAAAAAAAAATAAATATTTCAGAGAAGTATCAGTAAAAAATAAATAAATATTTCAGAGAAGTAAAAATAAATAAATATTTCAGAAAAGTATCAATATTTATATAATTTTAATTTATTAAACATAACTAACATGTTTTTAGTAAAACGAACAAACGTTAAAATATAAATCGTAAGAAAGAAAAAATCTAAAAGTCGATAAGCATTCATTGATAAAAATAATATTCAAATATTTTTTAGTTTATACAACAAGAGAAATAATTATTTCAATTGATTATTTGAAATCTCTAAATCTCAAGAAATATATATTTAAAAATATTTATATTCCTGATTGTAAAATTAAATGTACTAAATGTATTTCAATAAAATTTTAGCTAACATTTAAATCAAATATATTATTTAGCATTAACTTTTTATAATTCGGTAATTCGGTATAAAAAATATTTTTATGTGAATATATATTTCTGATTCAAGTAGATATTATATTCATTTGGACCGGTTTCTACAATTTTCCATCTATCCTTTTCATTTACAGAATTTATAATTGATATAGAGTTATTCTATATAAAAACATTCGCATACATGTAAATTTTTCGATTCATTTAACACATGTATACATCATGTGTAATTTAAATATTTAAATAAAACTTGGAGTAAATCCCACGGTAAACTTTTTTTACAATAAATTGAGGTAAGAAGACTCGATAAAAAATATTGTTCTCCATTCGTAATTGCTCGCTCTTCAAATATTATTGAATATATCGGCTTCGATAAACACCCAGGCACAGCGTATAACGAGCGTGTAACAAATCCGATGGCGTGTGCCAATGTGTAAACACACTCCGCGCAACACTCGAAGCCGCAATCCCTTCGCCCTTGCACGCAGTGGGGCGCCACCACATCGGGATGATCGCACAATAAAACACTGGCATAATATTTCGCCCGGCTGGTTGAACACCGCAAATATACTCTAGGACCACATGCCGGCCCTATTTTGTAGAGGGTGAGAAGGATAGCAAGAAAAGAGGGGGCGAGAGAAGGAAGCAAGGGGCGAGAGAGACGCGTATGTTGGCGCGCGAGAGTGGAATCTGCGAGCAACCCCCGCGGTGGCTCTCTCCCCCCTGCCCACCCCTTCTCGTGTGCCGCAGGGACACCCGCGGGCCTCACGTCCCCCTTCGCGGATTAGCTTCGCTACATTTCGTCCCTTCTGTCGTTGCGTATGTCCCGTCATTATGCGCCTAACTCTCTGCAAACGCAAAACCAATAGCCACCATTCACAGCAGATGAATTTATGGGAATCGGATGATGAGTGAATTGCGATTGTTGCTTGGAATTTCCTGAATCGCGATAAATCAACTATCTGTTTTGGTAATTAATCGTCGGATTTTGGATAGCTATTTTGCTAAGATGCACGAGAAATGTATATGTTTTATGAAAAAGTTTCTTAAAAATTAATCTCTCTTTCTCCCTGTCTCTCTTAAAGTAAATTGTATGTGTTGTGTAAACATTTTTGTTCTTATTAAAATCAAAATTAGTAGTTGGAAATATTATAAAAAAGTATTATAAAAAATTTTTTTATATTTTTTTAATACACCTCTCTACATACACGATACTTTTAGATATTCTTTAAAATATCTAAAATTTAACAAAGTAAGACGAGTGAATAATGGAATATATTTTTATAAAATTATTATATGTTAAATGATTTAATCAACTTTAAGGTGGAGACGTTAAACCGGTTTTTTTTTCGTTTTATTGACAAGGGAGTTAGTAACATAATAACATATTAAGAGTATATTCCATAAAAGTACATTTAATCATGTAAGAGAGGGGAGGAGAACGAGACTACATAGCCGACGAGTCGTTTTCGCCGTAGGTCAGACGGCTGAAACGAGAATTGCTCGAATTTTGTTAAGTTTGGCAGCAATTACTTTTGATACCCGACACGCGGGCGGCGTAATTGCGTTGGGCCAAGCAGAACGCGCGACGGAGAGGGGTAATAATTCGCTAATATCAATTTCAAATTTCAATTAGTATCATCTCGACGTCCGCCTCTGCCGCTTCTGCCGCTTGCTCTCTCCTTCCCTCGGTCCCTCTCTATTCGCGGACCCCACAGGAACACGCCATGATCTAAAATTCAATTTGTCCCTTCGTACCGGAGAGCCGCAAAGAGAGAGAAGGAGAGACACGGTGCAACGGCGGCTGACGGGGGAGGGGGAGAAGCGAGAGACGAAGGGGAGACGTCGCGATGGAGCGAGCGAGATAAACAGCCGCATAGAGTGATAAGGACGACGGCGCGAGGGGGGCAGAGGGACCGGGTATAGTTAGTGTGTACACCGGTTCTCTAAAGCCACTCGCGTGCACGCCGTTATATAACGAGAGAGAAACGATGGGCGACGGCGGCCGGGGCCCCGTAGGCACGCGCATGCGCGACATGCCGTCTCATTATAAATTGATAACTTCGCCGTTTATTAAGTTCCACGACCGATGCCTGCTTAGGCAAAGAGCCCTCTACGCGCCGCTCTTCTCTCTCGATCTCTCTCTCTGTCTCTTTCTTTCTCCCTCCCACCCTCTCTCGCTTCGTATGCAGCTCTTCTCTCGCCGATACATACATTATTTATTTACGCGAGTTTACAATCCCTCTAATGGGGATTGGCGTAATCGGCCACCCATCCGCTTTCCTCTCCTCGCCACCCCTCTCCCTCTCGTATAACCGCCCACCCCGCTGCAGCACGCCGCTGTCGCGCTCCCTCTTAATCATATTTCACCCCGCTTTCGAAAATCCGCGCGTCGCACGGCAAAATCGGAAGTGGCTCCGATTCTCTGCTTTCCGCGAGGGTCATCGCGATATACCCCCTAGCACAACATTAGGATTAGAAAAAGCTCTAGACTTAAGGCGATTAGATGTGTATCTATTATTTAACTTTGTAAGAAAAATTCGATAATTCCTCCGCAATCATGATTCGGATCCAGAGAGATTTTGTCTTAAATAGTTTAGAAAATTTAAACTTCTGATATTTTTAAATAAATCTGCGATATCTAAATTTTGATAAATTATTTATGATAAAGATATACATTCGCCCTATATATTTATTGCTGGAATTTATTTATTTGTAAACGGGATAATTAGCATTAATATCTCGACCCGCACGTGCTTTTATTCTACAATTATTATTTTATAACGCAAGAAAACTATCGCTCGCTCGAACCACCGATCGTGGAAATCTTTTTTTTTCTCCGCGAAAGAGATTATGAAATCAATTGACATTGACGCGTGTGGTTGCAGATTGGCGCGGTCCACGCCCACCAGCCGAACAATAACCACCACCAGCACCATCAGCAGCAACAGCAGCAACAGCAGCCGTCGAGTCAACCGCAGGTGCCGGGTGCTGGCGCGGGGGGGGCCGGTGGGCCGGGGGGCGGCGCGGCGGTGGCCAGGGCCGGAAGCATGTTCTGCTACCACTGCCCCCCGGGCCTCCCGGCGCCGCGATTACCGCCGTCCCTGGAGTATCCTTTCGCCCCGACTCACCCCTGTAAGTAAAAATTCGATTCTTCCTCCTATGGGCGTGCAACGATATTTTTTATTCCTCCAGTTCTCCAGTTCCCCTCGTTGATTTTCGACGTGAAGTCGACGGTGCAGACTTTTCACTGGTAAAAAAAGACATTGCGAAACTATCTTTATTCGTCGAGAAGGGGGTAGTTTTTACTAATAACTTGTTTCGCATCGAAAAGTGATGTGAAACTTTCGCGGAGACTTTAATAGAGGCAGATAGAACGTGAAAAAACTGCATACGGAGGGAATACATTCGCAAATCGAATTGCAAATCTTGATTCTCTCCATTCGCGAGTTCAACTTTTTCAATCTCAAACTGATACGTTCCTCAGACAGATATTGTTTTTCATGAGAGGAGTCCCACGTTTTCGAGATAATTTTCACGAGAGAGATGACAATAGGCAAAACGAAAGAAAGAATAGATACCCGAAGAAAAATATAGATAGAGGTGAAGAAAGAGCGGGACACCGGGTATACAACCGGGAGTGTGACCAAGGGGCAAGGGACGAAGGGAGGGCAGACTGATTGTACCGGCACTTGCGCTCTAGCGGAACACATCGATGAAGTTACATTACCGACTAGACCGAGTTACGCAAAGTGGACGCTACAAACTGGACGGCCGCTAAACTTAATTTGCACTTGAAGCCAACTTTCAGTTAAACCGCGTCCCGCCGGCAGTCGAACCGAGTCACACTATCCAAGAACTTCGAACGCCAGTTTGTCTATTCACAGATCGTTTTCCAAGTCGCGTCCCATTCCCGGTGACAAATTTCCGGACCGACGCAATCTGTCAAATCGACGGTAATCAATGACAATAATCAGCTCTCATGACGATAATCTGCTCTCTCATCATCTTTGATTAGCAACGATGGTTTATCCTTATCGAGTTATACAACATAATGCGATCGCGAGATTATATATTTTTCGAATTGCATTAATTTTATTGGAGGGAAAATATTAATCCAATTTCGAAAATCATTCGTCGCTTTTAATTACAATAAACGTAACATTTTATTACGATTGTGAAGATGCATCGAATGATTAGTAACAGATAAAATAGATAAATAAAAAAATATGTAACGATATTAAAGATTTTTTTTTATTAACAAGAGAAGGATCTTTACTTTAGTCTTCTATTTTTTATTCTACAGTTATAACTTTTATATTCATAAAAAGATGCCAGAATTGTTTCAACTGAAAAACGAAGTGACATACATTACGATATGAACTTCGATAAGATTTAGATCAGGTCGGAGCATGAAATTATGCATTCTGTTACTATCTTCTTTTATCATAAAATATATATCAAATATATGGGAGAATAAAAGGAAAATAAACCGTCGCTTATATTTTACGGAATATAAATTCACGGGAATTCAGGAACGTGGGAAGAAGCGCTATTCTTTATATTCTCTTTAAAACACAACGCCCATTGAGGCTCATAAATGTGGGAGAGACGGCGATCTCTCTTCTCCGGTAGATGATCGAACAGGGCGTCGAGGTGGACGCGGGGGGCAGAGGGGGGACGGGGGAACGGGTGTCCTCAGGGACGTCCGGGCACCCTTCCAGCTACCGATTGCCCCCTTCTCGCCCCTCTTCTGCTCCCCTCGCTCCGCTCCCTCTGGTCCACACTGGCTCGTAGCCTTCTCCCTGGTCTCCTCTACCCCCCGTTGGGATAAACAGATTAGGTAACTACGTGATAAGTCGGTAAGTGGGTTCACTCGGCCCACGGTCCAGACCCACCGACATTCGCTCTAACATCTAACTACCTCGTTAGTGTCATTAGTAACGGTCGGGGTGTCATTAGATTTCGTTCTCTACGTGTAGTTTTTCCACGGGTCTCCACCACGAGAGTCCCCCTCCCTCACGGGGGACTGGTCGCCGAGAACGAGACCTGCAGTTCGCAAATGCAACGGATACGGACGATCATGGAGGACGCGTGACGCGCGTTTGGAATAATTTTGAATTGTTCAGCCCCCTCCCGATAGACTGCCCGTGTGAAAACACGAAATCAGTGTAGAACATGAAGTTTGAGTTGAATTTTACATTTTAATTGATTTAAAATAAAATATATATGTTAATAATTGTGTGTTTATACGTTATACCAAGAGAAACTTACGACAAGCTTAATGCAATAATTTCTAAATTAAAGGCTTACGAAGTTTTATCTGAGCAAAGTATAAATATACAGGGTGTTTTTTAATAAGCGCGAAAAATTTTAGGAAATGATTCTTTGTCGAAAAGAGGGTTTTTCATATAAACATTAAACAATTCTAATAAAAAAATCGAATAAGAGTCGCTAGTTTCATTCCCTTATAATAATAGGAAAGGTTGAAAAAAGATATTAATAAGTAATCTTTTTACCAGTAGAGAATATCCTAATTTCATTTCTTTAACTTGTTCCAAATTTGAGAAAAAAATAAAAACCTAATTTTTACCGCCATTTTTAGAGGAGTGTAATTCCACAGGGAGGAATGTAGGAGTTTATGTGAAAAACCCCCCTTAATTTTCGACAAAGAATCATCTTCTAAAATTTTTCGCACTTATTAAGAAACACGCTGTATATCGATTTTGTTGACAATGCGATTTTACATTCCGTCAGGAAGTGACACGCGAATTAACGATACTCGGCGCTTCCTGTGCGCGAAAAATTAATCGCCTCGCTTTGTGTTTTCCGCTGACGGGTAGACAAAGCGTCAACGACGACGAAGCGTGTCGTGAAAGGAAGTCGCGCGTGCGTCCTGAGCACAAAAGTCACCGGATCTCTCTCCTTCTCCCTCTCTATCTATCTATCTCTCTTTCTTCCGTGTACCCGAGGCACTACTAATAAATTGGATCAGACCGACTCCCGATGAGTTGTACGAGTTGTCTGGATCCGGGCTTTACTTCGGCCCGACTCTAATCTAAGATCTTGAGTGGATTTCAGTTTGGGGCACCGGCAAATTTATTTAGCCGCCGCGGTCGTCGCCCGATTCGCTTCTCCATCTTCGTTTCCTCCGCAGCAACAACGACGGTCGTTACTTATCAATTTGCCGAGAACATGAAAAAAATCCTTTGCAGAAAAATACTACACATATATTGTCATTAAATATATTTTATGTATCGTAGTTCGACATAAATTTCGAAGAGTTTCTGTTCGCGTTATTTATAAATTTAAAAGTATTCAAAAATTCGAAACGCGAATATCAAACATTGTTGCCGATAAAGTTACATTATTTTATACATTTGTCATTATTTTAGACCATTCAAGGCGGATATAAATTTTGCTTACATTTATTACAACTTTCTGATTGCACATGGTATTAGCACATTTGCATACTAAATGAAAATAATTCATAAGACAAGAGAAATTCTCAAGATTGGCATAATAATTATGCACAACGGAACACGGAAATCAAGTTTCAAGCGCATCCGCAGGTCCGCAATGTCGTTAAGCGCTCTGATAAAATATCATCGGTCTGAAAATCCTCGTATCGTTTATTTTCGCGTACGGCTTAGAACGAAAATCCTTGCGCGGATCCTCGTTGATATTAATTTTGCAAACGATACGGGAGATCGTGGCGACCATAGCGTATAATTGCACGTCCGCGACAGTTATGAAAGTTCAGTGGCATCGAGGCGAAGTATCTCGTCCCTGTGGATGCAACTATATGGGTAAATCGGCTGCATTGTGATGGCGCAACACCATCACGTCGTTATCCCCCGTCTCGCTTCCTCCCCTTGTTGCCGTTATCATTCTCTGTCGAGAGGGAGAAAGGGTGAAAGAGAAAGAGAGACGCGGGGGAGGGGGAGGGTAAAAGAGAGAGGAGGAGGAGGAAGAGACATTGCGCGAGCGAGCGAGAGACAGTCGGGCGGCGGAGAGAGAGTGGCATGAATTTTTATGAGCTTAGGAAATTAATTTGTGTTTTTCGCTAAGCCCCGGCTTAGCGCCGTGGTAATTAATTGCGCTGATTGCTCTGCATCATTGATGAGCGGTTCCGGCCGCTTCGTAACGTCTGCTCCCACTTCGTGGTCTCGTTGTACGCGGGCATATCCGACCGATGCCTTTATATCGACGCTTCACTTTTCGTCGCTTCGTGTAGATGTATACGTACGTGCGATCGCGGTTAATCGTGCTTTTCCGAATACTTTTAATTAACATGTCTCGTTTGGCAGCGTCATCACAAAGTGCACATAATTTTAACAAAATATTTTTGAATTTGCATGTTGTTGTTTTGAAGAACAAAAAGATGTAGACGATATATCCGATACAAAGAAAATCCAGTGCAAGAATTGCACTCGCAAATTTCTAAATTGCGTTAAATTAGATTAAATAGATGTAAGTATGTATGTGCATGCAAATGACTCTTCTTACAATGATATCTAAAAACTTGTACTTATATTAATGACTAATATAACCGTGAGAAAACCTTATGTTGTTATATTTTATTTTGTGCGATAATGCTCGCCGTATAAATTTGAAAACTCCGCGAGATTGTCAGTAACTCACAAGTTTCTTCAAGTTATCGAGTTTCTCCAACCCTAGTCAAGCACAGTCAAATATGCGAAGTACCGAACTAAGTAAGTTCCATTGGAACTTTGCAAATTCGAATCTGTCAAGAATTAAAAGGCGAAACTTTGTCGAATTAATTCGTCTAAAATAGGTCGGGAAGAAGAGAAAAATGAATTTTTTAAATATTGAGAGCAACATCTATATACAATTTATTATGATCATATTTAACAATAAAGGAACTGATTCTAATATTTCTGGTAATTTAATTAAATTCTGGAAAAAATAATTTAATTAAATTATTTTTGATGATATTTATTACTACTACTTATCAATTTTTTCTGTTTTCTATTATTTGGCCCGCAAAATTTTTCTCTTATCAATTTTGTTCTAGCAACATTAAATAATTTTTCTTATTAGCGTAAATTAAAATCTGCGCAATTTATAAAGCATGTCTTACTAAGGCGGTTACTTTTTATTTCTCCCGTTTTCGTTGCAGATACTAGTTACTCCGCTTATCATCCGGCACTACACGGAGTTGGCGAGGATTCCTTCGTGAGGAGGAAGCAACGGCGGAATAGGACTACTTTCACCCTTCAGCAACTGGAGGAACTCGAATCCGCCTTCGCGCAGACTCACTACCCGGATGTCTTTACGAGGGAAGATTTGGCTATGAAGATTAATCTCACGGAGGCTAGGGTGCAGGTGAATATACATATATATCAACATGCACAAATCTCTCTTATATTTTTTCAATTCTAATTTAACGCTCTAATCAAATTTATAAGTTTCTCAATTTACAACTTGAATCTATTATTTCTTTCGGATTATAAACATATTTTTCAAACATGTCCAGAGAATATCTGCGTATTGTCAAATTATTATTTTTTATTATATATATATGTATTATAATTTGATTATAATACAATTATTATAAAATTTTCTTATAACTTTATTATAAGAAAATTATATTATATATAATTATGTATATATAACAAAATATCTTTGTTCGCTCTTTCATTTTGTCACTGCAAGTATATTTATATATATCTTTATATATATCTTATATATAACATGTAACAATGTGTTTGTAATCCGATTAAATTATAAAAAGATCCATTGCCATAAGGGAGATGAATATATTCACGGTAAAAGAGTAACTGTATATTATATTTAAGGATACATTAAAACAGGTTACTCGAAAGTATGCTAATCACGTTGTATAATCACGTTTATTCGATAACGTGAAAGCACGTATATTAAAACTTCACAGAATATTCGCGTCCGAGAGCATTGGCAGTAGTAGCTAGCTTAATCTTTTAATGCGTCTCAGCGCATTGAGATTGGATTTCGCGTTTTAATGCGATGAGAAAATTACGCGCGGCAACCCGGTAATTTTTTGTCCGCCTCTGTAGCGTTAAAGTAGAGAAATTCCGAGAACATTTTTCATTCTATATCGTGTTTTTGTGTAATATTTCACACAACACATAATAGAACGTATTATCTGCGCCTACGTATATATCCATTAATATTCACAAATTATTTCGCAAAAATACATGAAAGCATGTTTTGAGCAAGTCTTTTTCCATTTTTATTTATCTCTATTTCTTTTCTATCTAAAATATCTATTACATATATATATATTTTTATATATATAAAATAGATGTTATCTATTATGAATATCTTCATCTATATACGACATATATGCGAAATACATTTTATATTTTGCATATAATTTTATGCATAAATAAAGATAGCACACGAGAATTAGAATAAAAATGATAGGTTTAACAATTATTGAATAAAATGAATCTGTAAAAAATTGACAATAATGATCGATTGTTTGGTTGTACGACGGTAGTTGCTGCCACAAAAGCAAGAATATACGTACAGAAGGGCAGGCAGGGCGGGAGGGAAAGGGGCCCGGACCCCCAAGGGGCGAGCTGACACCCTCGACCTGACGTAATCTTCTGACAGAGTAAGCCGGTAATCTCCGGGATTACTTTGTACTCCTGGCCTCACGTCCTTACGGCCATATTTACTCACGCCGCTGTAATTCGCGCTGAGAATCCCTGTAGTAACGGCGATTCTCTAAAATCCTGTCGGAACATTTGCGGAGGATATCTGATTACCAATGACGGCTTTTGATTTCTCGACAGACGTGAGTTTTCGCGAATTAAAGACTACATCTTTCGACAGCTCCAAAATGTTAAAAAATTTCATTTTTAAATATACATCTCGATACTGAATATAATCTCTTTTTGCTCTTCAATTATCGCGTGAATCACTTACTATTGCTGTTTAACAAAATGCAATTGTTCGCATTCATTTTAGAAGAGTCATAAAAATCTCGGCTTCTCGACGCTAATATCCTGACTTGTTGAAGGATCCTCAATCACAAAGTGATAAAAGGCACTTCTAAGAGACAGTACATCGCGCGGATTGCGAAGCTGAGGAGAAGGCTGTAGTCTTTAGAAGAGAGGGAATGAGAGAAAAAGACGTTAGAGCATACGCACACATTACAATGAAAGAGACAGAGGGGAATCGACGAAGAAGGTGGGAAGGGGAGAGAGGAGAGTTGGTCTGGCTGTGACGCAATTACGGCGCAGACTCATTGTTTCATTAGCAAAGACAAAGGGAATCTGGAATAATGGACAAATAGGCGCGTTTATGTAGCGCCCGTCCTCTTCTCCAGACTCCAATTAGAATCTCTTAGAAGGGGGAGAAGGCGGGGGTGGATGGCGGGGGTTGAAAGAGGGTTCGCTATATATCGCCGAGGCACGTACCGCGCACGACATCTCGTCACACACGGCGAATGTGCGTGTATTTTCTCGCACACACGTATTATTCGCTTGCGAATCGTGTTGGGAAGTGCACATGTGCCAAGCGGCAATTACTGACGTTGCGTGAATTAGACGCGACGCGCCGTTCGCACCTGCGTTTGCCCTTGGACCACTGGGATGCTGGGTGCTGTCACGTCGGCTCTCCTATTCTCGTTGATTGGATTTTATAAATCCTCTCTTTTTCTATTTAGTATCACGCTTGCTTCTTTGGAATCGTAAAATGAAGGAATAAAAAAATAACTCGATAACACGAAGAAAAAAATAATGTGGAATATTATTGCTTACTCATTGATCAGAATAGTTAATGAAAAGTTTCAGATTGAATCAAGAAATGAAAATGAAAAATGAAAAAGAAAAAATTCTGTAAAAGAAATTGTTGAAAAGAATGATTTTTCGTAAATTAATTGTTAGTTTAATTGTTCGTTTTCATTGATTTTAAAAATAGACTTTATTATACCCTTTCTCATTATATCGCAGCGATACGTGTGACCTGTAATCCCATAACAAACAGCAATGCATTAACAAGGGTGTGGCCGATTAAAAATGTTTTACCGGTGACGAGGTCGAGTCATGCCATTATCAACGAATTTCGGATTAAATTCGTATTGAAAAAGAGAAAAAATGGAGAAGAGAGAGATCGCGCGAGGGTGGAAAGGAAAACGACGACGGTCCCTACGGAACCATGGCTTTGTTCCCAGCTATTACTCGCCCCCCTGTAACCCTTAGGATATTATTATATCTCCCCGTCTGCCATCATCTTCCACCCCCTCGCGATGTTTGAGGCGATGTAGAGTCGTGCCTATCGTATTTATTTTATTAAACCATTTTCCAAGCTTCTCTTCTCCCGCAAAAGTTTCGCGATCCGAACTCATAAGATAATTATTTTCCAGATCCATTATACATGATATGTGCTACTCTCTCTTAAAGATTTTAAAGATTTACAAATTTTTTAATTTTTTAATTTTGAAATATACAGTTTGTATTCTTTTCTAAAAATTTTACAATTTATTTTTAAAATAATTTTTCTCTAAAATTATATAATAATTATATAATAATTGATATTTATATAATAATTTATTAAAATTTATGTAATAATAAGAATTATATATAAATATAATAATAATTATTAAGAATAATAATTAGAATTATATAATAATTCTAGAGAAAAAAATTATTTAAAAAATAAAAAATTGTAAAATTTTTAGAAAAGAGTACAAACTGTATGCTTAAAAAATAAAAAATTTTTAAATCTTTAGCAGAGAGTAGCATCTACAAATCGCGGAATTATAAAAAAAATTACTTTTTTTAATTTCCCTCGTGAAATAAAAGAACAGTACTTTATATTATGAGACTTTATATATTATATATAATCCGCCCGTATGTAATGAATTTTCTTAATCGACTTTTCAGTGTTTAACAGATTAATAGCTCTGATTACAAGTGACGTTCTTTTATTAGTGAGCGCACTACATGAAGATTCATTCGCGTGAAAACACAACGTTATTACATATACGTCGTCGGGACAAAAGTCGGCGGAGAACCTCTGAGTATAATAAAGTCTATTTCAGCCGGTATTATGTCAAGTTAGCCTCGTTAGCGGAACTCGAGCTTTTTAAAAAACACTCGGCCGCCGTGGTTGCTGTCGGCTCGTTGAACATGCACGGCGGAAAGTGCCCCCGGTCCCCTCTCTTCAATCCTCCCTCGTCCAACCTCTCGGACACCCTCGCGCTTTCCTCTGCCTCAGAATATCACCCCTCCGTGCATGCAATTATCCTTGCACATTTGCGGACATTGCGAAGTGGCGTAGATAGATACGACTGTCTCATTTTTGTCCTCTCCTTCTGCCTCTCATCGCTTCTCGTCGTGACTTTCGCATAACTTTTAACCCTCTCGGCACGCATGATATAGTCATATTCGATTGAGATATATCGTCGAGAATATTGAATCAACGACTTATTATAAACTTTCGCCGAGTTGGCTTTTAAGAAATTTAATTTCTCCGTGGATGTATATATCGCGGTAGGATATCTATTCGCATTTACTTTGTAACGAAAATTATATCGTAGAACAGAATATGAAACATATTAAAAGCATGGAATAAAATAATTGAGCAAAGTCGGCTATTGCATTTTCAAATGTCGAATGAATGAAGACTATTTCTGCGACATTTATATATCGTTGTATATTAATAATGAAAATTGAACGACGCATTAGCAAATTAAATATTAGCAAGACGTAAAATATTAATTTTCTATGAAAATTTTTATAATTGCTTTTTTAGAAAAATTTACTCGAAGAACCAGACACTTTTGCATCAAACTAAAGTCTCCTCGATCAATTTAAAAGCCTCTATTCTAACGTTATCTCCATTCTGAAGTACCAATCTTTTTCCTAATCGTAAATTTCCACATCGTAATTTCCAGGTATGGTTCCAAAATCGCCGAGCGAAATGGCGAAAGAGCGAGCGGCTGAAGGAGGAGCAACGCAAGCGCGAGGGCGGGGGTGGCGGTAACGTGGAGTCGTCCGCTCTGAGCGCGCCGACGTCGTCGTCGGCGGGCCCGAGCCCCACGGGGAACGACCCGGAGGGCACCACCACGAGCAGCAGCGCAGCCGACATGGAGGACGCCGTGGTTGAAGGCATCGGAAGCGGTGCTGGCGGCGGTAGCGGCAGCGGCGGCGGCGGCGGCGGTGGCGGCTCCAGGAGTCCCAGCACGACTTCCGCCTCGGTCAGCCCCCGGCCCCAGCCGAGTCAGCCGTCCCTGGGTGGCGTCTCGACGCCACCGCCGACCCCCATAAGGGCGCCACTGCCGCCACCGAGCACCGCAGGGGGTCTCGGACCGCCCGGCGAGAGGTGAGCTCTTAAGCTTCGTTTGTATTTACGTCTTTAGGAAATATCTTCCTCCTTCTCTCTCCCTCCCTCCTTTATCCTCCCTTATTTCTCCCTTTTCCTCCTTATAAACTCTCGGGCGATTTCAGCGAGCAAACGGGTGCAAGCGCCGCTGAACATGCCGGCCGGATGCTCGATACGCGCCATTAAACCACTTCTCGTGACGGCGCGCCGTCCACCGGTAAAGCCGCATCTAAACCTCCCTCCCCTTTCCCGCCCCCGCTTACTGTCGTCGTCATCATCGCCACTCGTATAATCGCGATAATCGTCGCCTCGTTAAACTGTAACTTCCAGAGTCTATGGCGAAGCAAAGAGAAAGAGAGAGAGAGAGAAGCAGAGAGTAGGGGAACGTCAGTTTTCCCTCCGAAGCTTTGTCTCGTGAAACTGAATGGCGTCTCGCATTTACGACTAGCATGTCGAGAGGAAGCGTCGAGACGCGACGAGGGAGCTAAAGAGTTTGCGACGGGTAAAAAGGTTAAAGGGCCGGCGGTTTCCAGCGGGTATGGTTGATGTCGTAATTCCGGGAGCAAGTGGATTAAAGTTTCCAAGTTATCGACAGTTGCAGGTGAAAATTTTTAACGTCACACTAGCATGATATCGCGTTGCCAAAAAATGAATGTCATGCTGAATTTTTGTCCATAAACTCCCGTCACAATTAATAGACTTAACTGCGAATATAATTTTCTGCGTGCGTATAATTTTCTCTCGTGCGATGAAAAAAACAGATTTTTTTTTTATATTTTTCCCGTCGCGAAATGAATATATTCATTCGCTTAATACGCGCAATCTACTTGCAACATCACCAATGTGTTTGAGAAATTTATATACGTGCGTATCGAGAGAAAGTTCGCGCCGCATGAAATATTTCTACGAGAGTCGCGACATCGCGGATAAAGAATGAGGGAGAGAAAACTGGGCACGTTCGAGAAATCGAAAAGGGGGCGATCTATCCCGCATTCGCGATCCTCTTTTTCCGCGAAGACAGGGAGCATTCGTTTATAATCCTCGAGATGGTGGAGACTGGCTCTCTCTCTCTCTCTCTTTCTCTCTTTCTTTCTACAGATCGAGGCCAGATCGGGGACAAAAAATGCCGAAAAACATCGCGAAGACGCGTAATGCGGCGCGTTAGACGGCGGGGGATGGTGACGAGGGGGACGAGAGGAAAGGGGAGGGGGAGAGGGACGAGGAGGGTCGTGGGAGAAGGTAAAGAAGAAACGGCAGGAAGAAGATATCCCGTCGCCGTCTCCCCGCAGTTGTAATTTATTTAAAACTGCTCGCCGTAAATATATCCCCATCATTTATTCAAAGGCACGGCGAAGCTCCTGACGGGGGGCAACGCGGGGGAGGGTGGGGAGGGGGAGAGGGTAAGCTCCGCGTTCCTTCTTTCCTTAGCTTTACCTTAAGAACGGCTTCGCGGTGCCGTACAGAAGCGGATTCGCGTCGCGAGGATGTTATCTCCGTCGCTAAATCGTCTCTTTGTCTCGTCCGTTCAATCTCGGAAAATCGTAGGAACGCGAAGAATTGATTACGCGTTACTTGTTATTACAGCGAGAAGAACGTAACGAAGTTCGTCTCTTGTTAGAGCTGATCAAACGCGATCCTTAGGAAAAAGGTCGAGCGAAAGAGCAAGAGTGCAAATTGCCGTTGTATATCGATTGACATTTGTGCATTGTACAGAAATTATTAATGTTCGTAGTATTGCGTAAACGGCTTTTGCGCGATAACACATCCATTTCCAAATCGTTTCCTGTCACTTTTATTACTCGCTTTAACTCGACGTTATATCCGCTATATCCGGCGGGACTGAAAGCGTTTAATGTTATTGAATTTTAAATAAAGATTTTAATGGAGTCTTATTAAACGCTATCTCGTCTAGGTAATATCGTAGTTATCGACTACTTATTAAGATTACAGAAACGATTACAGAATAAAAAATCTAATTGTAAATATAAGTAAAATCATAAATGGAACATAATAAAGTAGATCATAATGTAAACATCTATAAATGAAATAACGAGCTCTAACGTGAGTTTGCAGCAATGAAAAAGACAAGATACGAAGAAAAAATACGAGATGATATATGAAGACAATAGAAAAAAAACCTTCAAAATTGAATTACACGAAAAATTTGTTTCCCAAAAAAGTTAAAATATAAAAATTTAAATTTTCAATGGGGAAGAAACCCTCCCATAACATAAATCATATGTTAATATAAGCGCACATAAAAAATTGTAGAGAGAAACAAATAAAATTAAATTAAATTAAATCAAAGAATTAATACGAAATCAATCGGCTGAAGAAAAAAAAAATCACCTGTATTTCTTCTCGTATTATTCTGTCATCGTCTCTAGGGAAACCGCGTTTTACAGCATTTTTCTCCCTCAACTTTTCCTCTTCTCGAATATGCGCACGCGAAAATTATTAATGTCTTACATGGCTTATCCACGAGATATAATCTGCATTTAAACCGTCATCCCTTGTACACCGTAACTCGACACCGTAATTCGGTGCCGAGTCGATAAGATGCGCACCGATAAGTCGCGCTTCGTCCAAGCAACGCTGAAGCGGCTCCGACGAAGCGGATTTATGCGGGCGCGCGCATGTGTGGGTGTGTGTATGCGTGTGTATGTACGCGGACATGCGTGCATATGCATCCGTGCGTGAGTGTGCGCGCAGAAGGCAAACGTAAGCAAGATGCACGGTAGACTACGCGGCTAATTGCCGCTAATTATCGCGCTTACCGCGGTTCAGATCTTCCTCTCGCCGCGTCGCGGTTTTCCATCTCCTCCCCCTCGCTCCTTTGCCTCCCCTCCCCGGGCAACCACCTGAAATCCGCTACTCTGGTTTCTACCGACGAACTGCAACGTCTTTCCTACTCACCCCCGCTGCTGCTCTTCCCCACTAACGACCTAAACGCCGTGGGCTGTCTACCCTAACTCCTGCCCGCTCCCACGCGTCCTCCCTCCCTCCTGCCTCTCCTCTTCCCCGATCTCCGACTCGACTCGAGCTCGTTACATTAATTAAACAATATTTGTGATTAATATTTGAGATAATCATCAGCGCCTCAAAACAACCTCCTCTCCTCTCGGAGGATGCGGAACATCGCGCGTGCTAATCGGATTAGCGCTTGCGAGACTGTAGCTCCTTCTCTGTCTGTCTGTCTCTCTCTCTCTTTCTCAATCTCTGTCCGCGTCTATCTATCGGCCTCTCGCTTTCTCTACGCTGAAACGCCGGTAGTTGAAATCACGCGAAATTGCGACGTCCTTTTGGCGATAATCGCACCGGTGCTTGAGCGTTAATTCGCGGACGAGTTAAAGATCGTTTCCAGCATGATGATTGAAATCTCGGTGTATTCATGTGAAGCGGTAGAAGCATTAATTGTGCTATTATCATTTAATTCACGAATAATTAACATAAAAAAGAAAAAAATAATATCATTTAGAGACAATAAGTAATTTCATATTTTTTTAGAATTAGAATCATGGAAGTGGAATATTTTTGTTTCTCTTGTCAGAAATTTAAGCTTTTAATTTTTAATATATGATACGATATACATATATTGTAATGTGCACATATTGCATTAAAAAAATGAAAATGTTTTCAAGCAGATGCAATTTTTTTCTATATGTTGAAATATATATATATATATATATATATATATATATTTATATTAAAAAATATTAAATATTAAAAAAAAAATATATATATATATATATTATATCTAAAAAAAAAATATATGTACAGCTCAAAGAAAGTCGCAAAATAATTTATATAACACACATATACACACATATACTGAGAGAGAGAGGGGGGGGGGAGAGAGAGAAAGAGAGAATATTTACTCCTATTTTAAATAAATATATTGCATGAAATATATGTTTCGATAAATAGCGGTCGCTGTAACACCTTTACCTATCTTTACATTTATCATGGAAATTAATCAATCGCATGACTTGATAATCGTTAATTAAAATTGGCAAAATTCCATATTTTATGGATAAAATTCATGCCAGTGATGAAAACTGATATTTCCTGGAAAAAATCGGCAAAAATTGATCTTTTCTATTAAAAATGTTAAAATAAATATAAAACTTTTTTATCGATAATTGAGAAAATGTTTTCCAATTTAAGCTTTTTCTAAAATAATAAATCTGTAATAAATTAGAACGTAGCAAATATGTATATTAGCTTTTATTAGAAGATTTTTTGAAAAGTAAATATAAACCAGACCTATATTAGCAAAAGTTTTTAATCCTGCTTTAATTCTGTTACATACACACATTTTTCTTATTACATTAAAAATTAATATAAAATTTAGTAATATTTATATTTCCAAAGTATTTATTTTAAAAACTTCACGTATTAATTTGAATTAAAAAAGATTTTATTATATTATTATATTTATATTATTTTTGAAACTATACATAATAATTAGTATTATAATTAAAACAAAAATATATTATAATTATCTTCTTGCATAAAGTTATATAAATACATTTATACATTTAATGTTATATATTTAATTATTTCCATAATTTTTGCCAGTTAGCATTGAATAAAGTCTGGGACAGTAAAAACCGGAATTACCATGTTTTTTCCATTGGACTTTTCCGGCCAATCCTAATTGTAATAATTATATCATATAATTACATGTCTCGATACATTTTCGTATCTTACTTTTGCATTTTAAATTATAACAAAGCATAAAGGAGTTTTCACCAAATATCCTAATAAAACAATAATTTATAATTCCCATTCTCTTCAATTCCTATTTTTTAAATAAATATATTGCAAGAAATCGTCGGCTACAACTTCTCGGTATTTTTACAAATCATTAATTAATAGTGCGGATTAATAATCTCTAAATAGCCCTAAAAATGACGGTCTGTTAATATATTTATCTCAAGGATTTTAAAAAATAAATACGACGATAAATGGCTTGCGTCGCTTTTCTTCCCGATCGAATGAAGACGAATATATACAAATAATGGCGCGCTAAAAACGAAATTTTTCGATGTATTACGGACTGTTTTCTATTGTACAAACATTGTCCTTTCAATTAGAATAATATCCTTTAATATTATTTTACTTTCACTTTATCTCGTTACGATTTTCTACAATATAAACATCATCACTTGTTTGCCATGGTGCATACGTTATTAAAAAGAATTTCTAGGATCGTTTCGACGGTACCAAAATTGTTTCATAAGCACAGCGTAAAGCCCATGAAGGAGATATAACTGATTGCAATCGTGTTCTATTAAATATTTATTTTGATTGTTGGAAGAGATTAATATTTACTTTGATATAACATTTTGATATATTCGCGAAAAGAGTGATTTTTCCTATTTTTTAAAAATAATAGAAGCTTAAATTAAACAGATTTTCATATATTTTTTCCAATAAAATCAAAATAAACGTAATAATTGAAAATATCAAAATCACAATATATCTCCCAATGTACTATAAGATCCTTAAATTGAATGATGAGGTTTATTGGCTAAAAATTTTAATTCTTCACTGATGAGTTCTCTACAATTTGAAATATCTATGACATCGAATATTCTTTATGCAGATGATTAAAAACCTATATTGTAATAAATCATGTTCTACTTTCTTATATCTATATTATACATTTTAAATTAGATTTTTATTTTTATTTTCTTCTGATTTATATTAATTTCTTTTTTTTCTTATGAAACTTTTAGCACCACGGGAATAGGCGCTGGCTTCAGGCCGGTGGAACCACCGACCTCTCTCTTCTTCTCGCCTCATTTGGCCGCCCAATTTTCGCCACCGCTCTTCAGCAACAAAGTTGTTAGCAGCGCGTCGACATCGCTGACTTCGACACCGTCTCTATGGACCACCAGCGATCAGCATCGAGCGAGTAGCCTCCAGGAGATGCTGTCCTGGTCGCCAACCGGCTGGCCCGGTTCTATCTGCGGTTGCTGCAAGCCAGGTACCGCTGGCAGCGGTACTGATCTTCATCGGAGCAACAGCCTGGCCGAGTTGCGAAGAAAAGCTCAGGAACATTCGACCGCCTCGGCTCTTCTCGGTGGTCTCGCCGGTTTTCCTGGCGGTCTGCCCCTGCCTTTGCCTCTTCCGCTGCTGCCACCCTTGTTAGGTCTCTCCAGGCGACCGGAGCACCATCATCATCATCATTTGCCCGGTGTAGTGCACCAGATACAGCCAACCACCAAGGAGGATCCATAGGATCGCCTCGACGGATGTCGAAATCGTTTCGTAAACGTAGCGTAAATCCCATTAAGGGGATGTAAGCATCGCGTGATTGCAAAAAATCAGGAGCGATATAATAATCTCGGTGAGTTCGAATCTCGGTGCTACAGAGACAGAAGAATAATATATCTCTGTGTGTATTTTCATAATGAGAATATGAAGAATTTCTTTTCTTGATGCCTTTTTCAAGTAGATGATTATTGGTTGAAATGATCTTTTCTATTATAATTTTATAGAATTTTTTTTTATTATAATTTCTCATAGAATTCTTTTTATAATTATATAGAATTTAAAATTTCTTTGGATTTAATGATTCAGTTGAATTTTCCATCTAGAGCATCGAAAATTGTACTTTATGAGATTATGCTGCTCTTTAATCTGTACAAGTGCTTTCCTCATGATTATATTTGAGTCTTATCATATTTTTTTGAGCGAATAAAGCTTTTTTTTTGACATTGTGATAGACGAGTTTAAGAGGCTCAATTTCGGCAAGCGATGATTTAATCACAATGCTGTGAGTTGGTAACTTTGCTCGGTTAAATAGTTCGTTGCAAACTGTATTCCTACTATCTTCGATTTTGTAACTTGTTAAAATAAATTATTATTATTATGCGCCTATTAAGAACTTGCGCACTTTTGATAGAAAATCTTATTTTAAATCGTAGAACACGCTGCTTTTTACAAGTATGAGGTTTCCGTTTGAAGCAAATTCGACAATCAATTCCATTTTCATTTATATAATACAGAAAATCGATTCCATAAAACATATTTTAGCCTAAATCTTTTTTTATGAAAGTTACTAATATTTAAATTTAAGTAATACACGGGTTAAGTAGTACACGTATTTTTTTTTATTATTCTTGACATTTTTTCTTTCTACCTTTTTCAATTTAATAAAAAATGGAAAAGAAATAAGATTACATTTTAATACTCGTTAAATACGCAATAAACTGTTGAATAATGCAGCACTATCAATTTGCAAATTACTTTGTTATAATTGCGGACGAGATGTAAATAGGCAACCTTCATCACAATAATCTTTAGTAGTATTCACAGACATAAACGTTCTTCTCATATATATAATCAACAATAATGTCCAAATCTTCATTCTAGGCTACTCAGTGATATTTTATTTATTGCCTTAACTTGCGATGCAAACATATTTATATCACTGCAATTACTTCCAATGAATATTGTTATGCAAAACATTCAGTTTACAGACACAACAGAATTGGCGAATTTATTATTTACAAGTGAGGACAATTCTTTAAAAAAATCTACGAGAAGAGGAGACTAGATTTCAATTTGACATATTAAATTTAAAACGTCGCGATTTGTATATAATGAAAATAATAGAAATTTGGAGCGAAAAACCGACACGATAAGATCGATTCACATTGTACGACAATATATTATACATTATATTATAATACAATAACGAAATGTTCTTTCATAATATCAAATGTATTTGTGTTTACATGTCATTTTATATGATTTAATATGTGAATGTGTATACTCGTTATTGTGGAACAATTTTTCACCGTTTCGTGTTGTATCATATAATGTGAATCAGTCTTAAAATATGTCGAAACTTATACAAGGATGTATAGCCAAGTGTTTGCGAAAAAATGGTTTCGTTTCCTTCCACGCGAGAGAAAGAAAACGCGACGGACCAACACGTGCCTGATGCGCTGTATATTCAATCGCTCGATATGCTCGACCAGTCGATTCGTTCAACCTACGCGAATAGGCTCGAGTGTGTGTGCATTCATTATAACATTCCTATAGGAACGGGATATGAAACCGGTATAATCTTAAATTCGATCTTATTAAATCGAAAGAGAAAAATAACAAAATGTTGATGTTTCTTTAATCGAATTGATTTCATTACGATTATATCGGTTTTAATTTCCGACAACAAATAACGCGAGGAAACTCGTCCCGAGTCGGCTACTACTCTTATATGCCTTAAAAAAAGAAAAGAAAAAGAAAAAGTTTGGCGACATGGATCGATTTCAGATTTTTATCAGGTAACGTAGCGATTATTAATAATCATCAAATCACAAGATCGGTCATTTCTTCTTAATTTCTTTAAATTAAGAAGAAACGATCGCAAGTAAGAATGAGTGTATGTACGGATTTGATTTGATGTCATGCGTGAATTCGATGAGAGAAAGTGATAACGAGAAAAAGATATAATTCCGTTTAATTCCACTGCATTTTCGCGAAGCGAGAGGCGTAAAAGCGAGAGCGGACGTAGTTGTTTGTAGAGACCTGTATATTACCTCCCGATAAATAGTCATTGCTAATCAAAGATAGTCTAATAAAAGGTATATTGTAAGGTAGCGATTACACTATGTAGTCAGAACTGTGGTAGTAATATATCGAATAAACTTGTTCTCTCATGAATCCGGTGTACGAATCATTTCCTCGCATAATTACAATATTTCAATTATCCTCGTAGAGCTTGGAAAAGAGTTATTCGAATTTAGTTATTATACTACTTCGCTCCGAAATCGATCGGTTTATCGTTCATCCTGAAAATTCCGATTCCGTAACTTACTTTACCGCTACCGCGGGATTACATATCGCAGATATCGTTCCGCGATTTGATCCCGATGCAATAAGTATTCCATCTTCGTGTCCGCCAATGGCATTCCAGTCTCTTGATTCCATACAGACTAGAATAATTGTACCATAACTGAGAACAGCCGAGACAACAACACCGAAATAAAAACACAGGAGTTAGAAGAAACAATGTAACATCGCGGAGGAAAAAGAGGAGACGGAAGAGAGGTAGCCTCGGGAGTAGAAGCGGAACGCAGCGAAAGAGAAGAAAAAAAGAGAAGAAGCGGGACGCAAGTCGGCGAAGAGGGCGAAGGGGGTGTTGGCAATCAATGCTCCTCATAAGAAAAGCTCGCCCTCTCTTATGGGATCAACCCTCCTCGGGGATACGCGGCGAGTCTTCTCGCGGGGTAAAAAGGAAGGAGAGAAAGAGCACGCGGAGGGGTAGATAGGAAGAGACGGGAGGGAAGGGTGGTGCGGGAGGGCGAGATGGAGAAGCGAGCGAGGGGGTTGTTCCCGGCTCGACCAACCAGCAGCAAGACGCCATTGATCGGCACGTGGCTCCCGGTTGGTGCAACGGATTCCACCGGGAGTGGAAGGGAGGCAGCTCCTGTGCCTCCACGGCGGCGACGGCGGAGGTGATAGTGGTGGTGACGATGGCGAAGAAGACGGAGATGGTGGTTAGAGAGAGGAAAGGAGGCAACCACCCCGATGGAAGACAGAGGTGCTTGCAGGCGGGACGCGGGGAGGGGTGGTGCGCGGGGGACGAGCGTTCTGCACACTCCGTTACACTTACTGGTAAACCGTATTAATCAACGACATCATGGTTTATCCCCCCATTCCTCTCCGCCGCGCACCCACCTTCCTTAACCTCCTCTCCCACTTTCACCTTCTCCTCTCGCTTCCGCTCCTTCCTCGTTTTCTCCCCCTTCTTATCCCGCTTCGCCGCCACCTCGACGTGCTCCATCGCGATCTATAGCACCGACGTAACCTTACAGCTTACAGCACCCTTGCCTGGCGCGGCGCGAGATGAAGGCGAGACGGAGAAAGCGACGGGTTAGGGGAACGAGGAAGAGGGACAAAGGAGGGAGGTTGAATCAAGGCGCCGGGCCACTTTGGGAGAGGCGATCGACGCTTAACGATGTCTCTCGATACCCATTACGTGGCTAGCCGGGATTCAACGAGCCGGTACCGTCGACTCTCTCGCGTCATTGTACACCGAGAGCGGACTCGGATAGAAAAATCCGATTGATCCCGCGGTACTCTATCCCGATAACATTCCTTCCTCGTAACTTGCCGGAACCGGTGGGCGGATTTTGCGGATACTCTCTTCCTATACCTCCCCCGTTTCCGCTCCCGCCGCCGCGCCATTGGTTAGCGGTCCTTTACAATTCAGGCAACGCGCGCGAGTATCCTTTTTACGGCAAACGCGATCTTCGCGGCGATACGAATAAAATAACCGCGATAGCTGCTGCCATTTCCTGCAGAGGCGAGTCCTGCAAAGATTCGACGGAAAAGTGGCGTACTCTGTTGAATGACGAACGCGAGTAAAATTCAATTTCTTTTTTCTTCCTTTTAGAGGTAGATTAGCTAAGGAACATGTATGAGAAATATTTGACAAAATAAAGAGAAAGCGCCTGACACACATTTTTCTTAAAGAGCCCATTTTTGTCTTATAAAATATAAACAAAGTGGAAACATTTAACAAAAAATTAAAAGATCGAAAGAAATATTCAATCTCTTTTTTTTATAATTTCCATGCAATTTCCTGGTCAAACAATCGATCAGTTACGATAATCTATTTTAATATATATATGTAATAACCGAGATTATTACTTGAAAATAACATCATTATCTCCCGCAATCTTGAAAATCTCTGGACGATTATAAATTTCCATCTTCGGTATTAAATAATTCTTCAATTAAAAGATCAGTAGACAATATGATAAATTAATTCCTATCTTTTATTCTCTCAACAATCGGTGTCTTCGATAAAACGCGCGAGATTGGTATCAATCTCAATCCAGTCACGAGAGAGAAGGCGGGGTGGGGTCGTTTTAATCGGGCTCGAGTAACTGATTTTCGAGTATCACGAGATTCGCGCTTCACGGAGAGAAGATGGTTGAGGCTGCCTGACGCCAGTAGACAGTGATTAATATCGCGACGTCGTCTGGCGTCTCTCTTCCCGAGCCCCCTGCCCCGTTCCCTCCTCCTCCCCCTCGCGCAAATGCATGCGTAGGGTCGTGCGGGAGGGCGTGCTCTGTTTCATCCCTCTCTTCCTCTCTCTCGCTCTCTTTCTCTCTCCCTCTTTCTCCATCCCGCTCACCCCACCATCTTTCCCCCCCTCCGTCGCGAAGCGCACTCCGCGGTAAAAGGTTTTACGAAATTCATTGTCAGGCAATTTGCATGTCAAAGCCGCTGAGAAACGCGGTGCTCCAGGACCCGGCGACGGCGACGGCGGCAGCGGAAGCAGCAGCAGCAGCAGCAGCAACACCAGCAGCAGCAGCAGCAGCAGCAGCGGCGGCGGCGGCTGTAGCTTCACGCTTTACCGTCCCGAGAAGAGAAGAGAGATGAGAAGCAGAGAGCGTGGTGTCTGTCTCTACCC